CCAAATAGTCTGCCTCTCTCTCTCGCTTTCTCCTTCTCTATCGCCCTCTCTCTCACTTTGCATATGAGCATCTCTTTTTGTAGAGTCCCGTCCCCCTCCCGATCCACATGGGACCCCACTACACCCAAGAGAAACCCACTCAACTCAAAAAGCCAAGACCGCAGATCGGGGGGCTGAAACGGATTCCTGAGTGCCAGATTATTTAGTGGGCATGGACCGGGAGCTCAAAAGACTTAAAAAACAGAAATATAGCGGGTCCTACGGTAAAAATACAGAAAAAGCGATTGGTTCACGAGCCCAAAAAGACAAGAAAACGGATATATAGGGTAATGTTTCAAAAGGGCTTGACCGTTAAATTCCTCTAAAAACGCATAATGCAGCTCTCGAAGGATATCAAAATAAAAAAGTGAAATGAAATTAAAATATAACAAATATTATGGCCCTTGGAATACCAAAAGACCGGCAAAGTTTCATTGAAAGTTGAGAGAAAATAGTAAAATTACAAGCGCAAAACCAAAAAAAATCCAACGAAAACCCCGAGTCCTTGAAAATTACCTAAAAGGCGCCCCGAAGCGAGAAGATTCCCCTTTTTTCCTAGAACAAACAGCCACCAGACGCTAGCCGAAAATCGGCGGCTTTTCCCAGATTAGCGGATTTTTAGCGGGCCTAAAATATTCTTTTTCGACGAACTGGCTCACGTGCTTCGAGAAAATAACTGAAAAATAGTGAAAACTAACAGAAAAATCATATAAAACCCCCCGACAATTTGAGCGCAAAATAAAATCGTACTTTATTAAAGTAGAGCCCCAAAAGATCTCTAGACAAGATTAAAAATACCCAAATTTACCCTTGAAAGCGGTCAGCGGTCAGCCAGATCGCTAAAGATATGCAAAGAATCGGATGGGGTTAAAGGCCGAGTTTTGACATTTGTGAAGGGAAGGAGAAGTCAGGGATGGGGAGTCCGGATCGGCCGAGAAGAGGGTGCCGAGTCTCCAGGTCCCTAGGGATAGATTATGCCCCACCACAACCAACCACGGCAAAGTGAGGCTCGTGCTCAAACCACTGCCAAATACCAATATATCCGGCCACTTGGCCGTCACCAAAAAATGAGAAGCGGGATGTAAAAAAAGCGGAAATGGGGGTAAATTTGAGGCCGAAAAGGCGAGATTTCCTCGCTAAATCGCCAAGAAATTTAAAAACAAGCTTATTACCGGAAAATGACGCCGATATTCTAGCGGGATTGGAAGCGCTTAGCAATGAAAATAACGCTTCATCTGATCAAAAAAAGCGAAAATGAGTTAAAAAAATAAGATTTTTTTACGACACGGGGTAGAAATCAACGAAAAACTTAAGACAAGCTTAATAGCCAGACAAAAATAGCGAAATTGATCCTGAAAAACGACTAGCTCAAAAGGCTGATTTAGGCTTCTTTTTTTTAATTTCCTGTCATCTAACGGCTTTTGCTAACAATTGCAGACGAATCTAGACGAAAATTTCCCATAACCTCTATCCATAACCCATAACCCCCAACAAGTTGTTCTTACAAAAAAGACCTTTGTCGAGAATACGGAATGAATAACTCCGACCCCCGCCTGGCCGGTATACCCACTGTTTTCACGACAAAAACCCCGGCGGCGAGACGGGAAGAAGAGGAGGATGACAACAAGAAGGGGTTACCGACAAACGATAGAACGGTCACCAGGCTCCGATTCTTTCTTTTCCTAAATACAATCACTGCGGTGCTCTATGAATCAACTAGGCGGAGGGGAAGGGTCGAGAGCAAGTTGTGGTGGAGATCGACACCTACTTTACGTTACCTTACCTAAAATACGGAAAAAGAGCTGGTGGGTTAGCGGGGGGGACTTTTTCAGGCGCCCTTTACGCTCTTGTTCGGAAGAAAGAGTCTAAAAATTTCGAAAATTTGAATTTTGTCCAAAAACTGGTCAGAAATCCTCATTTTTAAAAATAGTTTTATAACTTCTTATAAGCCAAAAACCATTAAAAACTATAAAAACGTTTCCATCTTATTACTATGGAGGTTAGGCGTGGAAGTGCTCCCCCCTCGCTAACGAACCAGAACCCGAAAAACTCGGAAGCATGAATTCTGAAGCTAAACAAAAGAAGTCAAAAACTAAAAACACTAAAAAAGGCTACGAACGCTAAATAAAAAGAGGCATTTCCCGCAGATAAACTAAATAAGATAATTTATAAGGAGAAATTCCGGAAAACCCATTGCCATTACCAAACTAGCGAACTGAAATCAAATATCGGCGGATCAAATGGTGCCACCAATGCTCGCCCCTCCCCGGATTGAATAAACAAATACCGTCAGAGGGCGCAGAAATCAAGAATGAATCGTGTGGATGGCATAGACAACATTTGCTGCGGGGGAGAAGACGTCAACCAATCGGCCCATTGTCTTCTACGAAAAAGCAGAAGAAGCGCCGATCGGAACGGGGCGAAGAAGGACGGCTTCCCTTCAAACAAAAACAAACAATCCTCACTGGCCCTCTTTCCACATTGTCCCGGCTATTGGATCACTCGACACCACTCGGAATATGAATTGCGCTAGATGGATGGGTTATGCTTTTTTATAGACAGGAAAAGAGAAAAAGAAAACATCTTAAATGGTAGCAAAACGGCCCAAAAACCTGGAAGTGGATCTGGAATCGTTGCAAAACCTAGCGTCCCCGGGTTCTTCATCATTATTACATCTATCCGCATTAAAAAACACAAAAAACGTATAATTATCTACGAAAACTTGCCGATTTTCGATCCAGATCCCAACCAAAAAAATGTCGAAGTTTATTGAATGTTTTTTTGCAGTTAAAAAATAGATAAATTTTGCTACAAACACTAAAAGCTGAAGAAAATAAAGAAACTCCCAGAAACTAGGCCTAATCTGAGCCCAAAAAAAACTAAATTTCTAATTCTTGGGGCCTAAAACTTCTAAATCAAGTCATGAAACCATCTTGCAAAAAACCTAGTTTACTACCTAACCAGTGGAAAAAGACCGCTTCGCGGCCATTTTCCACTGGACCACGTCCAGGAACCATGAATTTGAATACCCTCTTTTTTTTTAGCCTGCGGCGCTAGAACCTGAGCCAAGGAGCCATTCTTTGGCCTGCGGCGCCAGAGCGAGCGTTGCGCTAGAATCTTTGAGCCTGCGGCGCGAGAGCCCGAGCCAGGGCCTTTTCTTTGGCCTGCGGCGCTAGAGCGAGAGCCAGACCTAAATCTTGCGCACCGAGACCCTAGCTATATGTTTTGTTGCCGAACTACCAAAAAGCAAAAACGGAAATTCCCCCATGATCCGAACTCGCGACCCTGCGCGTGGTAGGCCGAGAGCTAATCCACTACACCAAGGAGGACATGGGAGGGGGCGGCGGGAAAGGCCTGTTCTGTCATGGGGAGGCGGGGGTAAAGATAAGGGTGACCAAGGATCCCGGAGGGAGGCCTTCTGGTCACTTTACAAAATTCTATTTTTTAGTTTGAATCTGTGGAAAATTTGCAAAGATAATAAGATGCGCATGATCCCCACCCTTGATTGCATACACGGCCCAAATTTCTGACCGGAATTCCATCAGGGCTTCGAGTTATGGCCTGGACACCACGGTCCGTTCCGCGATTTATTAAGGACCTTTCAGAAAAATCCACATAAAAACTTTATTTTAAAGATTTTTGCAAAATCCGAAAAAATGTATCTGGGGAATTACTTTTCCCATCTACCCTCCAAAAATGAGACCCCAATTCCCTCTAGGGGCCGAGAAAAGTTCCGGACAACGTGCGTACCCAAAAATGTTAAGGATTTTCCACATTTTTGCTTGTAAAATCGTTAAATCAAAGAATTTCGAAAAATCCGAAAAACCGTTTTTTATGAGTGACATTTCCCACCGCCATGCCAAAAATCAGCTCGAAACGCGGCCTGACGGCCGAGAAAACGGCCGTACAGAAAACACACATACTTTTCTCGCTTATAGGATAGGAAGTTCCTCAAAAAATTCGAACGAATAAATTCTAGAAACTAGCCTCAGCTTTCCGAAGAATTTGACCGACGCCCCCGAGGAACGAGTGTAGATTCGTGCGTGAAGGTGTGAGAGCCCGCGCTCTCACTTCTCACACTCCAAAAACACATCCACTTTCGTTCGGCTCTTCATTTTTATCGTCGGCCCCCGAAAGGCGCGAAGAACAAAGTCTGAAACTCTAGAAAAACAGGGAGCGAGTTTGCCTAGTTCTTCAAAAGTCATCTAGGTCGCTATAGAAGTGTTGGGGTAGTAGAGCCGCTTAAAAAAGCAAAAGCCACATTTTTTCCCAAAAATTCCTAAATATAGCCACACTAGGCTCTCGAAATAGGCCCCAGCTATTTAAAAAGTAAAAACCGCAAAGCATGTGAGCAAGTTTTCCCTCAGAAATTAGCAAATCTAGAAGGGGGTTCGGGGTGCGGCTAGAAGAAGCGCGCGAAGGGCGGCGGGAACTTTTGAGGGACACTTCAAGATTGGCCCACAAACACCATGAAACAATGGACTGGAGAATATTTGGGAAGAGCGGGCGCGAATCCTAGCAGAACGGAAATGTCATAATTCGAAGTTAGCTTCTTCTTGAAGTGCCAAAATACCGGTATTGCGAGCTAAAAACAGTGATTTGGAGCTGCAGCTTTCCGATAATAAGCGCAATGTTTTAGCCATTTTCTTAAATTGTAATATCGTACACATAGCGGTTTATTCTGACAAGGAAGCCTTCGAATCCTGAAAAGCAAAAGCCAGAAATCTAGGAAAAAGCACAATATAGATAGACATGGTAGGTTATCACAGATGTTACACGCAAAAATCATCGTGGAAAAGAAAAGCACAGCAGTAAATTCACAGAAAAACGATGGCACAAAAAGATATCAGAGATAATGAATGACTACACAATCGTATGGCAAAATATAGTTAAAAAAAAAGAGGAAAAGACAGAAATCCGGGTATTTAGTCGTTGAATCGTCACTTGTCTATGAGAAGTTACATTTGTGTTGGGTGAGGCTGGATCGACGGGACGGTTAGATCTGAAAAGATAAATAAAAGCAAGAAATAATAAATGATACCATTGAGAACATCGAGCCAACTCGAGGGCAGATCCGGGCTCAGACGGCTTCGTAGCAGCTGAAGCGTCTGAAAAACTCGATTTTTGAGCGCGCCCCCTCATTAGTTTTCTTTTTCTGCCTATAAATACCTATTAATAACAGTATTTTTATACGGTTTTTATACTAGCAGTTTTTATTGTTAGAAGTCTCAAAAGATTTTAAAACTTGTCGAAAAATTTTGTGGTCATGTTTCACCCATTCTGAACAAAAAGTCAAAAAATTTTCTAAATGTTGATAATTTTATGGATTTTTAGATCTAAAAAGTGCATCAAATAGTATTTGACAAATACTATGAGTTTATAGGGCCGTACGGAATTATTTGAAAGTTTTATCCCCCAGTAACCGTCCAGTATCCTTTATTTCACCTAGTAAAGGATATTACAACAATTTGATACCTTTCTGAAGTCATCTCGTACACCATTCCTGATCCGATCGATGCCGTCCCCAGGTCGCATCACTCCAGTGTACGTTCCCAACAGAATTCTATAGAATGGCCCCGCATCGAAGGATGGCCCGTGCTTCTTCGCCTCAAGCAGGGCGCAATTCGCCACGATGTTCAGGAACTAAAACAGAAATATAAAATGAAGGCGAAATGATACCTGGCGAGCCAAGTTGATTTTTGTGGACGGGAGGCTAGGGTCCGAGAGGCGAAGGATTGAGCTGAAAATAGGGATTTATCGGCGAATTTCGCCGAATACAATCGCAGGAATTTATCGTGCAAATTGCTTACAATTTCTAGAGCCCGAAGCAAAGCGCCGAGAAAGCCAGCCATGCTTCGGGCCAAGCAAAAACGTACCAAACAAGCTTGACGAACGCCTCGATGGCCAGCGCGGGCTGTTGGGGACGAAGAGATCGTTTTGTCTCGACGGTCATGGCGTGGTACTTGATCACGCAAATGTCGATGCATATGCGGAAGAAGGAGGCGATCATCAAATCCGACGACATCAGCCCGTCCGCGTGGATCTGAAAACATAAAAATTAGTTTTCAGCCAATGCAATACCTCTTGGATGATGTGAGCGAGTGAAGAGTGTGGATTCTGATCGACTTCACCCATTCCACACATGCGAATCCACTCGCGGAACACGCGTTCTACCTGAAAAAAAGAAATTCTATGGATTTCCCGATTTCGGATTTATCTCCGTTTTCGAGCTTTCATGTCGTTTTTCCGCCTTTGGTCCGAAATTGGGAATTTTTTAGTCGTGCGAAGCTCAAGAAGATGTTAATATCCTAAAAATTTACCCTGATAATCAACGCGGAGTAGAGCTTCGGATCCAGACGCGGCATCTCGACCAGTTGATGGCTTTCCGGCTCGCTGACGAACGTTTCTTCGAGCACCTTCATTGCCCATTCCTAAAAACACAGCGTAAAAACCAATTTAAGCTTTACCGGAAATTCCTGTTCACGTTGTCCAGCGCCCAGCGATGCCTCAGCTAGCTGTGGCGCTTCTGGGACCTCGGGCCAAGGGCCTAAATAAAAAATTATACCAAAAAAGCATGAAATACTGACCAGCTTCTCTTATGTGTCGTTTCGCCGACCTTTTCGCCTCGGCAGCGAAGAGCGGATCGCGCAGCAGCTCGGCAAGTTGACACCGCTTGGAAATTGAGTCTAAAAGGGGTTAGGCAGCGTAAAAAAGTTTACTTTTCAAATCCGGCGATTCAGCAGTCGATTTCGGGGCAGATCTTCGATTGGGGGAGAACGTTTCGACGGCCTGCATCTTCAGAAATGGGCAGGATACCTGAAAAAGCACGTATAAAAGGCGTAAAAATGCAAGAAAACGCAGAAAACATCGTAGAAAAGTAAACACAAACACAAGTAAGTACACAAACGCGTAAAAGGCTATAAAGAGTTGTAAAAACCGTGAAATGAGTCTCAATCTTTAAACAACTAAACCAAAAAGCAGCGCGGTGGCTGTGAAAACAGCTTAAGAAAACCTAATTAGCAACCCGGAGGCGATGAATTCCGGATAAAGCCCGAAATTGGATGCAAAACCGCGTATAAAAGAAAGGCGTTCCCGAGAAAAGATATCACTTCTCAAAACGCGACGATGGCCTACTCAACTGCCGACAAGAGCGCGTTCGTGCCCGTCGACTGTGGACAGGGCGCCAACCCCAAGCCCACCGAGCTCGAGATCGACATCGACGAGGATCTCTTCGGCAAGATCCAGGGCGCGGCTGGCGGTGGAAAGGTATACAAACTTCACAAACTTTTTAGAACCCGAAAAAATGGAAAAATAGTTCTTTTTTTGTTCTGTTGGTTTGGTTTATCCACGAAAAATGATATTTCCGTACAGCGTCAAAACGTTCCGCGGCGCTCCGTTTTTTGCCACGATTTAGCAAACAGCAGGCTAGAATTGGGCCCGAAAAGCGTAAAAAAGTAGTAAGACTCGTAAAATTCGGTATAAATTAAATTTAAACGATAAATTAGCATATGGATTTTATTCAGGGTTGCTTACAATGTACAAATCAGCTTAAGAAAATCGATAAAAAGCTGAATTCACGTCAAAAACCTTACCATTCAGTCGGTGGCTGCCCCGGCGCCTGCTGCAGCGGGCGGCAAGAAGAAGATCGAGTACAAGAAGGCGTCCGGCTACGTGAAGACGGTCGCAAAGAAGTGATCAACAACATCAGCCCTCCCCCATCTCTCTCTCCTGCCCTCTGGATTAAACCGATCAACCGAACCAACGATAACAACACGCTCTCCTCTTTCAATGCTATTTTCGCTTTTGAATTGTCGTCCTATGCTCGAGTAAATGTCTTTGCATCGCACACAGTGTATCAGATCTTATGGGGCAATTTGGAACACTCTTTGTGGCTTGAAATCAGCGCAAACTAGGGAGCGAGTCATCGTGGTTAAAAGCTATTCGTTTTGCGTGTTTTGGCTGAAAAACAACTTCGCAACGATTTCCGGTGAACTAACCTTATAGGCTTTTGAGACTGTTCTGCGTTCTTTGGAAGCTAGGTGCTGATTTGGTGAATCTATTTACGATGAATCGCATTTCCTGATTTGATGAATCTACCGTGGCATACCTGGATTTTCCTGGCTAAAAACGATTCAATTATTGTCATGTTTCGGAAGCAGGGCAAAATGAGGTCCACGAAAAACAGATTTCATCGACCGCATTTCTCCCAAATTCAATGCCGCCAAATTTGAGAAGCCTCGAAAAAGGTGCCGTACTTTCTGACGTGGGCCTTATCAAGCCACGGCCGGTTGAGTCATATGACTTCCGCTTTCCCCCTCTCCGTTCCCGTAGATTGGATTGATTGTTTTTGAGCGATCTACAGGCGTTCAACGACGAATGGGGCATTACAGGGTGTATCAAAAAAAAGTTCCGAAGTTTGTCCCCAATTATCTCGAGAAGGAAAGATATTTCACCGTGCGTTACCATGCCAGAATGTTTAAATATGCTGGGTATGAAGATTTAACACAACTTGATTTTTTCGATTTTTGGCGACGTATCAATACAAATGACACCCGAGAACTGTGCGTTCCGGCAAAACTCCGTTTGCATTTTTTCGGATTGCTGGTGGTCAAACACTTCCAATTTTACAATGTGGGTACCTAAGGACTGCCCCTACGCACATCCGCAATTTTGGAATTTTCGAAGGTCTGGTTCACAAGTTATAGCGTGCTCAAATTTAGTATGGAGAAATTTCGTAAATTTCGAATATTAAAAAAACTTATGGCGGGAACCCGAAAATAGATTGTTCTGGAATACCTACAAGCTCTGTACAATCGCACAAACACTTCAAAGAATTTTTTGAGATTAATGAATTTTCAAGTTTTTCAACGACCCCCTGGTCATGGATTTTTTGGAGTGACGAAACTGAACTTTGGAAAAATATTTCTAAAATTGCAGCTAGAATTTCGGTGTTTGCTTTGCTTAGTTGTGTAGGACTGGCGTCTATCTATTATGTAAACAATTTCTAGCTACCGTACACCTTTGGAAGGGTGCCGTTTATCGCCTGCAAAACGGTTGGTTCGTGCTATTTCGCAGATCTTTGTGCCAGTCTATAAAATTCCGTTGAGAGGCTGGAATTGTTGTCATAATTTTATTTAATACTACTTAATGGGCGCATTCTATGATCATAGTTACAAATTTATTGGGCCGTCCAATCTCTCAAAAGAAATTTATGAAGAGCCCAAATATACCCGAATTCGGGACGAGGTAAAAAAATTCTCGAGGCTTCAGTAGCCCCGACTTTTCTGGGATAGATCAAGCTTGGGTAGTCAACTAAAACGCATGGAAATACCAACCCATTTCATGGCAAACGAATTTAGAAGAGCTCCCCAAAGTCGGCTTTTCAAAAACGTTATGTTCCGGTTTTAAATCAAAATTAACCATTAACTTCGGCCAAATCATTCCAGAATTCTGCTTTCATACACAATTCGATGCATGCTTTAATTGTATCCACGAAACTCCGGCGCCTTTTTCATTTTCAAAAATTCGATTTTCGGCCCGGGTCATCCGGTCCAAAATGGGGCCCCGAGGAGGGTTTTCCTGTTTCCGTCATAACATTGTCATTTGCCACAGGAATCAAGTAATTTTTTGTAGGTGCTCTTACAAGCACCCAGAGAACAGTCTAGAATCGAAAAACCGGCATTTTATGGCATTTTGTCTTGGCATGCTAAAACGCGCTCCAGGTGGGTTACGGTAGAAAACAGAAAATCGCCGTTTTCTCGTTCTTTTCACCACAGAAACGTTTCGATCTTTCGGGAAAACAAATAATAGTAGTTTTTAGTCCGATGCATCGAAGTATTTAGAAATTTCCGTGGCTAAATTCAAAAATAAGTTTTTTGCATATTTTGGGAAGGTATATGGCTAGAACTCCACGATCTTTGGCCAATAGGTGACCCTTACTGATGTTTACCAATGATAAAATTTTGAGGGAAATCGCAGCTTACAATAAAAAGAAAAGCGCGAAAAACAAAAGCTACAGTATCCCTCTGGGGCACGTTTTAGCAAGCAATATTAAAATACCATAGAATCAGGTAAAATTTGGTATTGTGCTAAAGATTATCATTCGGAGACACCATTTGCAAAAGATCAGCCATGGGCAGCGTATTTGAAGTGAGTTCCGAATTAAAAAGTAAAAATAAGCAAAATAGGGAAATTTGTTTCGCTTCCAAAAAAATAACTAGACCTTCAAAAATTCTAAGACTTTGCTATTATATTTTTACAAGTGTCAGCAATTTTTAGGCCAAAAATCAGAATTTTCCCACTACCCGTTCAAGAACGCACAATTTTCGGTCGTAATCAGCGTCAATAGTACAGTTGCGTACTCAAAAATCGAAAAAATCAAGTTGTGCTAAATCTTCATACCCAGCATATTTAAGCATTCTGGCATGGTAACGCACGGTGAAATATCTTTCCTTCTCGAGATAATTGGGGACAAACTTCGGAACTTTTTTTTGATACACCCTGTATATTTCATGTCTGAACCCCCGTAAACGACGGCCATCCACAACCAGTGAATGTTACGATGTAGGTTATCTTTTTTAGGGCAAATAAAACTAAAGAAAATTTTTTAATAACCTTCAAAATCCAAAAATTCTTGAATCTTTTCCATTTTTAGATTTTGGCCAAAAAGTCAAAAATTAATATAATTTTGAGGAGTTTTGTATCTTAAAATAGCCTAAAATACTATTAAAAGTGAGTGATATGTCGTTATCGCCATGCGGAATTACTGGGATTTCCCCCCCCCCCGCGCTAATAGTCCAGTACCATGTCGATTCAGCCCAAATTCACAGATTTCAGACAAATCTATCTATAAATTTCCTCCATCTACCGGCACCATTCCATCGACGTCTTCACGAATTTCTCGGCAGTTCAGATCCGAAAACACGATTCCGATACGCGAGGACATGTCGATTTGCATGGCAAATGACACAACAATCGAGGAACCTTTTGGCGCCCTATTATGTCTGGTTCTGCCCGGATTCCACGATTGCAATCAAGTGGTTCGACGGCAACAGTTCCTCTGTCGTACTTATCAAAAGTATCCACACCCAACAATTGCTCTTATCGCATACGACCGTCGATATTACTCGGGTGGACGGAAAAATGCCACATAGAGTCCCAACAGACATGCGAACGCTTCATTTAAATATCGATTTATCAAGAATGGATGGAGCTCCTGATAGGAAGGCACTGATTTCCTTACTCAATGAGATGAAGCCCCGAGGCCGGAAATACGAGAACATCACTTTTGACAGCAGCAATATCGAAATGACACTTCCGATTCTACAGTACGCCAATGAACACGCGGAATATCTTGCTATTAAAAGATTTCCGGATCGAAACTTGTGGTCCGAGATCAAGTTTAAAAAATTTTTGGTAGAGGACAGGTGGCAAACATATCCCCTGATTCAAGCATTCATCGATATGATGGTGGATGAGTGGAGGAGAGGGAATAGGGAAATTGAAGACATCAAAATAATCGGAGAACCCGGACAGCAACGGCAAGAAGAATATCGACGGGCAATTGATGGGAAACGCCTCATCGCCTCGAATCGTGAACATACCTTTGCGTTGCGAGTAGTATCGTCGTAATTCGCGTGGCTGCGTGTGTATAAATTGTTGCTTTTGCATAAAATAAATACATGTCATAGTACTTTTTACGATTCACATTTCAAAAAACATCATCAACATAATAATTTTGTTGTGGCTTGAAAAGAAAGAAAAAAAGAAACGTATGTTTTTCATCTTTCGAGAGAGAGGGTGTGTGGAGAGAGAGAGAGAGAGAGAGAGAGAGAGAGAGAAAGAGAGAGAGAAAGAGAGCTCGACTCAGAATTCTCCTTATCCTCGACGTCCGGAATTTAGGGCGTGATTCATCGGTGCCAAAATAGAACTGTTTTTACGCGTGTTTGGTTGCTAAACTCCGCGGCTTTTATCGAGCTTCCGGTTGAGTGCTTATCAGTGAGTTCCATTCGGGGGCGTCGAAGCTGCATACATTCTTCTCGAACGATGATTATTACTTGACCAAATCGGTTCCGACCAAGGTTTTCTAACGGAATTTTACTTTAAGACTGACGATCGCATCAATTCTAGGGTTTTGCATCCATAACGAATGGGTCAATCATTGCCATGCATCGGACTCACGGAAAATAGGGTAAGTTGAACGTTTTTCACACAAAGCCTAAATTTTTTATTTTAATAGCGGATGTATTGATACGTTGTTTTCATTATTCCTCAGCATAAAAATATAGCAAAATTTGCTAATTTGCTAAAAAATTCAATTTTTTACGTCGAATAATAATTTCTGCGATCGCTAGTGTCCAAAACGTCTACATTTTCAGTGGGTTTGAAAGTTTTTATATTTCAAATGTAGCCAAAATTTTCTAAAAAATACAAAACTATTTTATAGTGGAATACTAGGTTACAGGGAGGTTGCAAGTTGTAGGGGTTCGAGGAGATATTAAAAATATTCTTTATTACAGCGGAAAAACGCGATCAATTTCGTCAACCTGCCCATTGTATTCCACGAACGACTCCTCGATTTTATTTGTACGACCGATACGAGGACACGATTCCGATACGCCAGGACATGCAAATTTCTATGGAAAATGACGAAAGAATCGACAAACGAGTACGCCGACTATTTCCTCAAGCTT